CTCCTTGGGTTTCCGAGGCAGTATCACTACGGAAGTAGATTGCCCCATCTTCCTTCCGAGGAGTGGCTGGTGGGTTTGAACCACCAGCCTTTTGGTTAGCAATCAAGTGCCTTAGGCACTATGCTACCAGAGCGCCTATTATTATGAGCCAAAAAATCCAAACTCACTGGCATTGAGTCAGTTATGACTCATAGCGACCCCCATCGTGTTCCTGGGGTGGTAAGTCTTTACAGAAGTAGATTGCCCCATCTTCCTTCTGCGGAGCGCAGCAGCTGGTAGGTTTGAACTGCCAACCTCTGATTAGCAGTCAAATGCCTTACACACTACACTACCAGAGCTCCATATTTGACCCTGCCATTTCCCCATTTCAAAATGTGTGCTGGCCTTGGAGAGTCAGAATAGTTCAAAGCAAATAATCTGACATTTTACTTCAGGTTTTTCAGAATTTAGTTTCAACCTAACTTCCTAATTTATCTAAAAAAAAGACTTGTTGATATTCTTCAGTCATGTCAAATTGTCATTATACTATTTATTGATCTTTCACATACATATAGAATTTACTAAGTTCCAGAAACTGCTCTAAGTGTCTACAAATATTAACTCATTTGATTCTCTTTACGAGCCCTTAGACTTAAGCACTGTTACATCTATTTGGAAGAGGAATTGAGGAATTGGGAGGTTAAGTAACATTCTTAAGGCCACACATTTACTAAGTGAAAGAATCATGATTTGGATCCAGGTTTTTGGGCTCCATAGTCCATGTTCTTAATTAATATGTCATTCTCTTTAAATTCTACCATTTCTTCTGATTGACATTCCCTACTTCTATTCTTCAGTGGTTCCTTGAGAATTGCTTTCTCTGCTCAGATGCTAGGTATTGTGATTCTTATTCCCAACTGTCAAAATGTATTGTTTATTGTGTTCTCATGTTCCTGTTTGTGATTTCTTCAAGTAAGACCTCTGTCTGACTCATTACTGTATCAACCAAATATAGTTTCTAACAGAGGGGAGAAATTTAATCAGAAATAACTGCTTCAAATTTATAGCTTGAGTTACGATGTAGCTTTAAAAATACCACAATAAACACATATTTAATTGTGAAATTATCATGAAAACTGATACCTACTGAATTCAAAGATTCGTATCAAAGGCCATGCATATAAACAATGGACAGGGAGGAAAACAGAGGTCAATAATTCTAATACATTCCATATGTATATATGGATCCCACAGTTTTTACTTTCATATTTATTTATCTATGCATTTGCTAATTTAAAAAAACAGTAGTTTCACATTGGATTTAAACTTAACTTGACTTTTTAGTATATTCATTTTTATTATGTAAGTTATATATACACATATACATGCATATATATATATATATAAAATATATAATGGCAAGTTAAATAAATACACTAATTGGCAATATAAATTTCATGATGATAAGAGTAAATTTAAAAAAAATTGGCACACATGCAACAAAAGATAAAGTTAAGGAAAATATTAAATATTCAATAGTCCTAGTAATTCTGAGGTGAAATTATAATTTATTTCCCCTTACTGAAGTATTTATTTGGCTATCAGATTGAACAGTATGCCACATATTGTCTTTTAAGGAGAATTTCTTTCTTGAAAGTACTTAAAACCAAAGACTTTTTTTTCTTTTAAATAAAGTTTTCCTTATGGTTCCTGATAAGAATATACCACAAGTAGACATGATTTCCAAATAAAACTATAATTATGCTGCAGTTTAAAGAGATTGTATGTGGTTTGCAGATTACTGGATTTACCTATCATTAGTGACATCAAGAAGTATGTCTGTTTCTTTTTGTTACTTATTTATACATCCCCTAAGTCACTTTAAAAGACTCTTACTCAGCTATAGAGTGTTCTCAATGTAAGATTTGATACACTCACCACACTGCAGACCCTCATCAGAGCCATCTCCACAATCATCGTCATGGTCACAAACAAATTGCTTGGGAATGCACACTTTATTATGGCACATGAAAGTATTTTCATCACATGTATTATTGGGGGCTGAGAAAAACATCATAAAAAGTAGTTAGATGAGCATATATTTTATCTTTCTCTGTCTCAGGAGTGTGGAGAAAATATGATATTCAATCCAATAATCGATAATTACTCATAAGAAAAAAATAAAGAAAGAAAATGCCAGATAAGGTAATATACTAATCTATTATATATTATACTATATTAATATTTTATAGTAATATAACTGTGTATATATTTATATGTGTGTATGTGTATATGTGTGAATATAATGTTGTTGTTGTTGTTAGGTGCCACTGAGTCAGCTTCCACTCATAGCGACCCTAAGTACAACAGAATGAAACGGTGCTGGGTCCTGCACCAGCCTCCCAATTCTTGGTATACCTGAGCCCATTCTTGCAGCGGCTGTGTCAGTCCATCTCATTGAGGGCCTTCCCCTTTTTCGTTGACCCTCCAGTTTAGCAAGCATGATATCCTTCTCCAGGGAGTGGTCCCTTCTGACAACATGACCAAAGTAGGTGAGAGAAGGCTGGCCATTCTTGCTTCCAAGGAGCATTCTGGTTGTGCTTCTTCCAGGACAGATTTGTTAATTCTTCTGGCAGTTCATAGTACTTTCAGTATTCCTTGCCAACACCACAACTCAAAAGCATCAACTCTTCTTCAGTCTTACTTATTCATTGTACAACTTTCACATGCCTATGAAGCTATTGAAAATACTATGGCTTGAGTTAGGTGCACCTTAGTTTTCAAAGCGATATCTTTGCTCTTCAGCTCTTTAAAGAGGTCTTTTGCAGCAGATTTGCCCAGTGCAATACATAGTCTGATTTCTTAACTGCTGCTTCCATTGGTATTGATTGTGGAACCAAATATTATGAAGTCTTTGACAACTTCAATCTTTTCTCCATTTATCTTGATGCTGCTTATTGGTCCACTTGGGGGGATTTTCATTTTCTTTGTGTTGAGGTGTAATCCATACTGCAGACTGTAGTCTTTAATCTTCAGTAAATGCTTCAAGTCATCTTCACTTTTAGCAAGCAAGGTTGTGTCATATGCATATTGCAGGTTGTCAATGAGTCTCCCTCCAGTCATGATGTTGCATTCTTCTTCATATATTCCAGTTTCTCAGATTGTTTGCTCAGCATACAGATTGACTAGGTATGGTAAAAGAACAGAACCTTGACACACTCTCTTCTTGATTTTAAACCATACAGTCTCCCCTTGTTCTGTTCGAACGATAGCCTCCTGGTCTATGTACAGGTTCCTCCTATGCACAATTAAGTGTTCTGGACACTCATTCTAGAGTGACTGTTGACTGAATTTTCAGGCCATTTAACAATGCATAAGTTTGTTGGGGGATGAATTCAAAGGTTCTTGTAAGAGGAAAAAGTAAAAATCAATCAACTATAATAATGTTAATAATGTTGGTGTTTTTTTTTTTTTCCCACTCATCTTGTGCTTATAATAATGCCAATAAAAAAAAAAAAAAAAAAAAAAACACCTTGCTTCTTTGTGAAAAGTAATCCTGAAAAGATAACCAATTGCTAATGCTCATGATGTAAGTGAAAAGAAATTCATGTGGGCTAAGATAATTACTGGTCTTAAGAAAAAAATAAAACTTTTGGGTGACTTAAAGAGTCAAGTGTTGCATGTTAAGCAAAGGTAAAAGTCTGTGATGTGATTAGTCCCACAAAATTAGGAATACCAATTCATATAACTAGCACTCCAACAAATATCCTAACCAGATGAAGATACGATTGTGCAACTGCAAACTGTGAGCAAACTATCCACTTCAGTGAAACTACAAAATACTGTGAACAAGTAACCTGTGCAGAGAAAATAAACACCTTTCATATTATATTCATGAAATCATTAGAGATTTGAAAATCTTTTAAATTTTTTCAATTATCCTCTTTTACATTAAAAGGGTAAAATCTATAATGGGATCTAGCTTATCCTATAACATAGGATATGATTTGAGAGATAGTGAATGTGAAAAAATCTGCTATATGTCACTGTAGGATACTGGAAAGGACTCCACAGAGTAGCTCTGCCAAATTTACACTTATATTCTTGAGAAGTTATTTACCTTCTTTAAGCATCTGTTTCTTTATCTTTAATGAAACAGTAATATTCATGTGATAGATTTCTTCTAAAGAATAGGTAAGATATATGAAAAGAAGCAGCTCAATTAAGTGTCCAGTAAATTATGATCCTAGATGCTACTTAAATTCATATCTATAAAACTATTTTTATATGAGTTGATTCCGACTCATAATGACCCCCTTTTGGTTTCCGAGATGGTAAATCTTTATGGAAGTTGTTTGCCCAGTCTTCCTTCCACCAAGTGGCTGGTGATTTTGAACCACTGATCTCCTGTGAGTTACTTAAATTCATATCTATAAACTTATTTTTAGTAGATCGCCAAAAACACTCTACTAAGATATTGTGATAATCTCATAATAAAATAAAAGCACCTACCACATTAATTGAGAGCCTTTTAGCCTAAACGGACTATTCCTAAAGGTGCACGGTAATGTACCAAACAGTGTTTCTTTGCTATTCATAAGGTTTTCCCTGGACAAATTCTTTGACAAGTGGACAGC